AACACAATTTAGAAAACCTAAAAGAAGAGCAATGCTTATTATATTTACCCACATTTTTATGTACAGTGTTTTTTTCTCTCTTCCTGATACTTCAAGGTTCATTTCTTTGTTATTTCCTTTCTTTTTGGACAACTTCCTTTAGAAATTCCTTTAGGAAAGGTTGACTAACAACAAATTATCTTAGTGTTCCTTATTCTTAGAATGTCTTGATTTCTTCTTATTTCTAAAGTATATTTTGTCTGGGTATAGGATTCTGGGTTATCAGTGCTTTTCTTTCAACATTTGAAAAATATTGTGCAATTATTTCTGGTCTTCATGATAAAAAAAATATGGAGTTATTTTAATTGTCTTTCTCTTACAGGTAACATGTCAGTTTTCTTGTGGTGCTTTCAAGACTTTTTATTTGGCTTTGGTTTTCAGAAGTTTAATTATTAGATATCTTGGTGTGGTTACTTTGAATTTATCCTATTTGGGATTTGCTCAGTTAATTAAATCTGTCAATTTATATATTTTATATCTTTTTTATTTTGTGTATATTTAGATATGTGTGTGTATAAAAGAGGTCTTACTATATTGAAAGAGGTCTTACTATATTGCCCAGGAAGGAGTATAGTGGCTATTTACAGGCTAAATCTTAGTACCCTGCAGCCTAGAACTCTTGGCATCAAGAAATTCTCCTGATTCAGCCTCCTGAGCAGGTGGGACTACAGGCTTGGCCACAGTGCCCAGCTAGGTTTATATCCTGACAAATTTTAGAAGTTTTCAGCTATCACATCTTTGAGTACTGTTTTAAACTGTGCCATTTTGTCTCTTCTCTTTCTGGGAAATGATAAACCTGTGTTATAGCCCTACCGGTCCCTGAGGATTTGTTAATCTTTATTGTTCCATTTTCTGTTTCATACTGGGTAATTTCTGTTGTTCTCTCTTCCAGATTACTGATTCTTCCCTTTCTGTCCTCTATTCTGCTGTTGACACTACCCAATTAACTTTTTATTTTGATTATTTTTTTTTTTTAGTTTTACAAATTCCATTTGGTTCTTCTTTATATTTTTAATTTATTTGCTGGGACTTTTAAAAAAAATTTCATTTAAGCATGTTTGTAATTCCTCTTTGAAGATTTTTTTTTTAAATAATGGCCTCTGAATCTAACCTTTTTAAAATAATTCTAAGACCTCTGTTATCTCTTTGTGACATATATTGATTGTCTAGTTTTTACTTGATTTAAGATCTTCTTGGTTCTTTGCCTGAAGGTTTGTGTTTTTTTTTTAATCAAAACCTACATTTTTTGTATTATGCTATGGGGATTTAGATCTTATTTAAACCTATTTTCAGGGCTGGGCAAGGTGGTTTACACCTGTAATCCTAGTACTCTGGAAGGCCAAGGTGGGAGGATTGCTCGAGCTCAGGAGTTAGAAACCAGCCTGAGCAAGATCAAGACGCCTTCTCTACTAAAAACAGAAAAATTAGCCTGGCGTGGTGACATGTGCCTGTCCCAGCTACTCGGGAGGCTGAGGCAGGAGGATCGCCTGAGCCTAAGAGTTTGAGATTGCAGTGAGCTAGGATAATGCCAATGCACTGTAGCTGGGGTGACAGAGTAAGACTCTCTCTCAAAAAAAGAAACATTTTTGCAGATGGCTTTCTCTACCATAACTTCAGAATAAGGGACAACACCTCATTACATGACCAAGTGGAGGCAGAAGTCCAAGTTTCCTGCTTCACCTCCATTAACACCGAGGAATGCATTTGTCATTACTGCTCCTCATCACTCCTCATTGCTGGGTGCCGGCTCCCCGTGTGGCCTCCACTGATACTCCAGTGAAGGTGGCCTTATCACCATTGAGTTATACAGAAAGTCTGACTCTCCAGGAGGCCTCCTCTTGGGAGTTGCAGGGATAGATTGTAGTTGTAGGGTAGATATGAAAGTCCAGGCTCCCTGTGTGGTCTCCAAGACACCACGGGTTACGGAGCTTCATCACCAACTAATGTGGTGAAAGCTCCAGCTTCCCACTTTGCCTTCCCTAACACCACCCCACAAGGGGTGTTGGGTCTCTTTATAGCCTCGTGAGGGTGGAAGTCTTGGCTCTCCACTTGGCCATTGCCAACATGGGTGAGGATGGGGGTCACAATTTTTTTGGCTGCAGTAGAGTAGTTATTGTCTACAAGGTTTCTGTCTTACTACAACAATCCTTTCTTGGTCTATTAATAGTAGAGAGACTGGTGTTTTGTTGGGGCTTTTTTTTTTCTTTTTCTTTTTCTTTTTTTTTTTCATTGATGTCTCTGGGTTTTCAGCTTCTTCAACTCTGGGATAGATGAATGAGAACCCAAGGAACTCACTACCATGCTATGCTGTTCCTCAGCTGCCAAGGTCCCTAGATAGTATTCTGCCTTCTTTTACCCTCTCAGTCTTCTCATGTTTGTTTTATATGCAATACCCATAGTATTTAGGTATACTCTGGTACCTTTTTTAATAAATACATTTTATTAAAACACAGTTATGTCGATTTGTTTATTTTTTTTTATATTAGCCATGGTTGCTTTCATACTCCAATGGCAGAGGTGAGTAGTTGTGATGGAGATGGCATTGTTTGCACAGCATATACTATTTACTATCTGGCTCTTCAGAACGGTTTGCCAGCTCCATGCTCTTAGAGAACATTTCCCAGAACTTGAAAATATCACTTCTTTGTCCCACTCACTGGAAAGTGATTATGTTAGAAAGGCCGATAAATGTTGTATCTGTTCTACACGGTTTATGTCCAGCTAAACTTCAGAGTTCTTATTACTATAGAAGAACGGGAGAATGAATACTGGAGAAAACAAACAGTCTTTGTTACACACAGTGTGGTAAAGGCATTATCCTCTTTTTAAATCTTATAGCAGCTATTTCTAAAACAAAAACAAAAGCCCCCAAACCAAAAAACATCCCCCTGACAACTGAAACACTAGTTTTGCTTTCATAGACTGCTCCACCAAACTAATCAACCAACCAACTGAACAAAAACAATCACACAAAGCAAAATTGTGGTTACATAGTCAAACAGTGTTCAGATGATATCATACCTTTGCATACTCAGATACATTATTAATGTATATGGTCTTAGAGAAACTACAATTTAAGAGACCTAGTTAACTTTTTCTAAACTAACATTTCCCAAACTTATTTAAGCAAGACCTCCTGTCAGCATTGTATCTTTTCCAAACTGTACTTATTCTGTGGAAAAGAAGTTCCACAGAACAAATGTATATTGTATCGTTTTAGAGGCTAACAAGGCATATTAATATTTTAAAGGCTCTGAGAAGTTCTGGTTGAGTAAACTCCATTTAATTTCTATATCCATTGTTTCCCAAAGATACCTATGTACAAAATCATTTTCTTTACACAACACTTAGCAAAATTTCCAGCTCTGCCATATTTTGGGTTTATGTTTTTATTAAGGCATTTATTAAATTTTGTTTTGCATGACAGTTGGGGAAAATGATTTCCTTTCTTCTAAGTCATGACCTTTACAACCTATTTTTTATCAACCTAATTTCAGATACTATTTTCAAAGCTAGGATACTATTGACAAACATTACTTACTAACAATCATTAACTTTAAAAAAACATTAATTATTAACAACAGACATTGATTAAACATGTGTACATGTATGTATAGACATACATGTTATATGGTATACAGTTGCCATGCATTAAATATTATTCAATAAATGTCTGTTTGCTTCTCCCTGTCTTACCAGGATGAAACAGCTATGCCTTACTCATTTTATCACCCACAATAATAATGTTAATAGCTACCATTTATTGATTCTCTCCTATGTGTCAGATTGATTACATATATTTCATTTTCCTAAAAGCCCATGAGATAAATATTATGATCTTTAACTACCAAAGAGGGAAACAAGTCTCAGAGAGGTGAAGATACAGACTCTAAAATCACAATGCAATAATTCAAACAATGGTTTCTCTGCTCTTAATGGTATAATTGCTTCACCACCTATTTTAAGATATATTCTACATGGTCCCTGCATCTACAGGCCTAGGAGAAGTAGCTCAATTCCTCTCCATTAAGCCAGCTAAGCTAGCAGAACAGACATCGGCTTAGATTTTGAAAAGACCTCTGTAGATAGAGAATGCTCTTTTTTCCCTTAGCCTGTTAAACCAGGAAAGTGGGGCATCTTTAGGTTGCTGAAACGATCATTTATCTTTTCTGTTAATCAGCTTTCAATTATTGTACCTTGCCCCTAAGAGGGATATCTCATCCCCCTGAGCTTTGCAGCCATTGATCCTTCAACTTCAGACCTGAGAGATAGTCACCATGTCAGTAAAATCCCTCCTATTGTTATTTTTTCTCTAAGATATCAAACAATGGGCTACCAAGTTGGAAGACAGGATGAAGGCCAGAATCATCGGGACCTGGTGCCTGATTGGAGGATAAATAAGACACTGTGAGAAGCATAGGTGCCTATGGTGACTACGAATGGTTGGTTCTATGCAAACCAGATACAAGAAACAGTATAATTAATAAAAACAATGATAATGACAGACAGCTAGATAATAATTGTGGAGAGCATACCACATAGGAGAACCCTATTTTAAGAACATTCATATATTAACTAATTTAATTTTGGGGCTAACCCTTTGGGAAAATTATTACCATCCTCTTTTTATAGTTGAGGAGACCAAAGTGGGGGAGAGGAAGTCTCTGGCATGGGGCAGAGGATTAAAAAGTAAAATTAATCCAGAGATTGGTTTTGTGTCTGAGTTCTCAGGAGTGGTAGGATATCCAGTTGGAGTTTCCTAAGCAACTTGTACATGTTTAATTTCCTGTGGTTGAAGGAAGTGTGAACTGGTAAACTTATGTCAGTTCTTGTATTAGCCCCAAACATTAGCCTTCTGAGAGCTAAGGAACCTGAGAGCTTCCTTAACTGCAAAACAGGATTAGCAATCCCTCTGAGGTGTCCCTGGGATTAAATAAGGAAAAGTAACGTAAAACACCCACCTGCAGCCGGTTCTTGACCACTTCTTCCTGCCTCCTACCCACTCTCTTTCACTTCTTCCATCAGGATAGCTCTGAGAAGCAAGTAAATAATGATTGCAAAGTGTTTATAAATATAAACTTATTTATTTATAAACCTTTTTAGATCACAAAAGTAAAAATATATTTCTCAATGTGCAGAAACAAGTAGGAAGCAAGATACAAAATCATGTTCAGTACTATTATTCAAACAGGACGACTCTTACCTAGGCCAGAACATAAGTTCCCTGAAGGCATGATCCAAGCCCGTATTTATTAAGTGATGTATATTGCCAGCATCTAGCATAATGCCTGGCACATAATAGGAGCTCAATACAGATGTGTTGAATAAATGAATATATTGGTAGGTGTGTTATTACACATTCAAAAATATTTTTTTAGCATCTACCATGTTCTTAGCCTAATATTTCTTGCTGTTATAATTCTAGTGTTTCATGTTTTTTTAGCTTGTGTGCTTGTGTCTGTGTGCGTGTGTGCTTCTGTCGCAGTTATAAGATGCAATATAATGCATTCCCTATTGTAGGTCATTCAGTTTCTTCTTTTTTGGGGTTTATTTTATTTTATTTTAAACAATTCTAGTACAACTGTCTTTTTAGTTATCTTTGCACACCTTTGTAATTATTTCTTTGGATAAATCTCAGGAGTAGAATTGCTGGGTGAAAGAGTCCATGCATTTTCTAAGATTTTGACAGGTATTTACAACTCATCTTTGAATAACTTTTCTTTATCAATTTAACTAACACGTATGACATTTAAAAAATGTGTTGTTTTGTTTGCTTGACATCTTCTCTTATATATTGCTTCCCTCCTTCACAACACCTAGGGCTGTGTTGGACCCATGTGGAGCCTCAAAGAACAATACACGTACAAGTAGAAATTTTACCTTTTGTATATTGACAACGGGGGCGGGGGGAGGGAATTCTTATAATATGGTACCAAAAGATAAAAGTGTGATTTGAAATACAGTAATTATTTTGAAGTCTATAGTGGGCTCTTACATAGGAGAAGGCTATGCAATATTCTGCTGAACTGCTAAGATGGTAGAAGGAAAAAATGCTGTGGATATGGGATTTAGGTATCAAATACAAACGGCTTTTTGATGATGGAGACTTTCTCATCCAAATACTTTGCAGAAGATGCTGAAGTATGAAGTATGCTGAAGTATGAAGATATGTTCAGTGTGCATAGGAATTTGTTTATAGTTTTTTTTTTAAAACTATAGTCCGGCCCTCCAACGGTCTGAGAGACAGTGAACGGGCCTCCTGTTTAAAATGTTTGAGGACCCCTGATTAGCCCTTCATTCTAATTTCTGTCATTAAGCATCTTACTTCCCTTAGCACTAATTACATTGAAACTAAATAATTATGTGCGTTTTCATTTCTTGCTCACCTTTACCATACTATAAGCTGTGTGAGAGGGTGATCATGTGGTCATTTCCCTTATTTTCGTCTAGCAGTTGCTACTGTGTCCAGCATGAGCTAGATTCTCAATGTTGTGGAGTAAAAGAATAAATGAATGAATGAACAGGCCCATATTGTTTCAACATCTGATCCATCCTTCAGCCCATGCCATGACCTCTAAATATTACTCCGAGGGACTGACTCTTATGTGCAAGACTCAAGGTATCCTGTCAAGAATAGTGTTCTGAGCTTCCCTTTGCAATTCAACAAAATGCCTCAACCAACTTCTGGCCAGCAAGCCCCAAGCGAGTGAAATATTACTAAATTCTATAAAGGTGCTGAGCTGCTGCTATCTGACTGTCCACTCAGGAATGAAGCAAGAGGCTCTCTCTAGCACTCTGGGGCTGCAGGAAGAGAAAAAGCAGGGGAAGGAGAAGACCAGCTTTCACTAAAGAGGGGGTAGCATATACCCCCATGCATTCCCACACCCAGGTTATCAGTGATTTGTCTCTCTTAAGCAGTAGTGAAAAGACAGTGAAAAAGAGGATGAGCACATTCTTTGAGGGATTTATGGAACCATGAACAAAGTGTCCCCCAAACCCCATATAAGAGCTAAATAAGCAAGAGTCATAGTGATTTTAAGAGCTGCTCCACTTGCTGTCTTTAGGTAAAGTGCTGCTCCAAAGTGGAGGAGGGGTTAGCCTGTGCCGTGGTAACTGCTCTACTTCCATCTAAACTCCTTAGGGGATTATTCTAAGATGCCAGTGAGGCAGCATAATAACACCTCTGCAGTGCTCCTGGTCTTTCCTCTGCTTGGCAGGATGCAAGCAGGGCTCTGTCTTGGTTTGTCCGTAACCCTCTATTAGTTCACTTTTCAAACCGTTGAGGACAGTTGGAAGATAGAAAAGTTCACATAGCCAGTTTTTCCATCCCCTTCCCCCTTCGTCACCCTTCTTGTATCTTTAGAAAACAGCGGGGTCTGGGAAGCAGCAGTCCATGGGACGTGAGGCCCCGCTAGGCGCCCCAAGGCTTCTGTGCACTGGTTCTCGGCCTCTGGCAAATCGCCTGCAAGTAGCTAAACTTAGACTATCATAACTTCTCTGTGTATTCTCCCTGCACTCCCTGCTCCTATTTTATCCCCCCACTAAAAAAATGTATTTTTAAAGCATGCTCCTTGGCTATTCAACTTTATGGGTCATCTAATTCTTCTCTTCTCAATGTCCTGTGGACCCCTGTGATTGACCCCATTTCCTTGCTTAAAATATTGTGGTGTTGGCCCAATTATCCTAGGATAAAAACCAAACATTTCTAATATGGTGAAGCCCTGTTTCCTGCTCACTTTATTTACATTTCTAGTCTCACCTGCTGTCCTCCTCTCTTCCTTTTGGATGTCTTTCAGTTCCTCAAGTGTATCATATTACTTGTTCTTTTCAGACACTTGTGCAGTTCCATTTGCTGGTCATGACTTGTACTTCCTCCCATCCACAGTTTTTATGAAGTTCACCCCACTCATTCTTTAGGTCTTGTGCTTGACCCTGCTTCCTCCTTGACCCCCGCACACAGTCAGAGTAATTGTCCGTGGCCCATGAAAGTTGATGAGGACGGGGCCATCTCTGTCTTTTACACTGTTATCTGTCTGGTGTAGTTCCTAGGGCAGAGATAGCTAATTGTTCAACGATATCTATTCTCCCCTTATTTAGAGACATCCTAAATTTTAGCAGCACATGTCACCACTCAACTACAGACTATATATTCCAGCTACTCTTGAAGCTTGTTATGATCAAGGATTTAAATTCTGGTCATTAGAATGCAAGCATAAATAATGCATACCACATAAAAGAAATGGTTGTATACAATTCTGCCCCTGAACCCTTCCTCAATGGCCAGAAAGAGAATTGCTTTAGACTCAGAAATGAAAGCTGAATTTTGAGGATGACATAGCTGCCTTACTAGTCTTACAGAGCCTAAATTCTACATGGATAAAGTGTTGATTTATAGCAGTCAGTATATTTTGCAGTCTTTTCATTAAAGCCTGGATCCTGAATTTTGGTAGGTTAGTACTCAATAGATACTTTGAAATGAATGGATGGGTGGGTGGAGTCTGATGACCAAGTGAACTTTTCTATTTTTGTTATGATTCCTAAATTTTTAATGGGTCATTGTTTCTTTCTTATCTTAGAACAGGGGTTCTTGTGATTAAAAATGCATAAAAGTAGCCATGGATTTGAACATATCTATATTTATATTTCTATACATCTACATTCAGAGAGAAAGAGAAAATAATAGCAAACTTTTATTAAGTTCTAGTTAGCAATATGATAGGCATTGCTCTAGGAACTTTGTATGCACTCATTCGTTTAATGCTCACAAAACATTTTATGAATAGGTTCTATTATTATCCATGTTATACAGATGGGGACACTGAGGGCCATAGAGTGTAAACAACTTGCCTGAAGTTTAGCACAGTTGTGATGTCCAGCTTTGAACCAAGATAGTCCTGACTCAAGAGCCTAAACTCTTAATCACGTGCCACACTGCCTTCTGAAGAATAAAACTCAGAAGAGAATAAAATGTAGAATGTCAGAGCCAAAAAAAGAACAGAAAAGATCTAATCTGGTTTCTTCATTTTATGGATGAGGAAACTGAGGCCCAGTGAGAGGAAATGATTTGTTCACAAAGTGACACAAATAGAAAAAGATTTTCTATTACTCAGAACAATGAATAATTCCAGGGTGGGAATCTCTATTAGTTAGTTGTGTGTGGAGAATCAGCAAGGCAGAGCTCTGCGACAGAGGAGTTATGCGTGCCACGTGTGTAGGGGGAGTAAATGGCAGAAGGTATGTGTACTAGGTTGGGTTTTTTGGTCCCAAATGTTTATGTCCCTGTTATAGAATTATACATCCATACACTTTGTCATACAACTTCACAGTGCCCTCCTGTTTTACACAGAACAAGTCCTATAGTATTGATCGTGGGCTTAGTAGCCATGTAATACTTTTGGGTCACTGGGATGTTAGCAGACACAATTTGAGAAGAGATAAAAATGGGCTTGCACAGACTGGCTTGTTCACTTGTACTCCTGGGATTTTCCATGGGAAACATATGCCTCAAGATGCTGATTCAAGAAGACGGTGGAGACATGTGAAGCAGATGAAAACCAAACCTGAATTCTAGAAACAGACCCACTAGCCCTAAAGACCGAAGTGGAGCTGCCACAGCCAACCCACCACAGACCTACCAGCTAGAAAAACTGATGCTTGTCGTCAGCCACTGAGATTTGGGGTGGTCCTTTATTGTATCATGATTATGGGAATAGCTAACTATTAATTTATGAATCACAGTATGATTCATCTTTGCCATCTGTACCTTGCACTAGACCATTTCATAGCCATTTCACAATCTTTTGATATCAGTTTACTTGCTACAGCTTCCAGAGTTGGGACATTTGAAGGAGGCTGTGTAGCATCCAATATGCTTTTATGAACATATAGAAATTTGGAGGGATATGGAAAGTATAGAGATTGGGAACTATTTGGAACACATCCTCCTAGAGAGAGTAAATGAAATCTCTCCCAGAAATAGGACCAATAACTGATATCTTGTAGGATCCCAAAATATGGAATATAATAGTAGTCCAGCTGATGGAGGCAGCAGCATGGGAGATTGAGACTTGTTCCTTAAGGTCATTCCCATAATAATCTGGTTGAGTACAACATTGCTAATTCTTATCATACTTTATGTACTTTGTTTATTGTGATGTAATTTTTTTGTGTGTGTTCAAGGCTGTCTCCATGACTAGCAAGTCAACTATGAAAGGCTTAGACTTATTTCTTTGAAATGAAGGTTAAAATTTTCCTAGTATCAGGTGATATTAAGGTCGGAAATCTAGGAATTCCTGATATATATTGTGTTAATCACTTCTCCCTCTATGGGATCCCAAGGAGGGACTAAATAAATAAGTCATGATAACACAACAGGACTAATAAATTACTCAAGCAACTGACAATGCAGAACAGCCTTCTAGGTAAATTGGATTGGTGACTTTAGTTTAAATCATGAACAGGGCATTTTGCCTCTCCTATTGTGCATATCCCCTCAATATAAATCTCAAAATCTTATTTTCTGATAGCTTCTTGAAGGAAGTTAAATGAGGATGGGTGATAACATGGCCAGTTCTGAGAAGCAGCGTGTGGTTCAGTTTACCTATTCCAGCTTAGGGAATAGAAGAGAAAGCAGGGAGAGGAGACTCCCTTTCCCGAAGCAGCCTACTTTCAACTGAGCAAGTACATAAGAATTATGGGATCTTGCATGTAAGACATGGTAACCTTGCCACCCCCAGGGAATCTGGCCAGTCAGATGACTCTTCCTTCTTTGCTGAGTGTCATAGGCAGGACCTACATGAACATGAAGACCTGAAGTATTGCTTCTCCTACACTGTGAATCACAATACCTTACCATCTCTTTTAGCTTCAGGTAGGGCATAGGCATTCAAGAATATTTGTTGAATAAATAAAGACTTGTGCCAGAGACAATGGAGACCAGCAAAATTCTGGAGACCAGTAATAATCCACAGATGGAGACCAGTAATACAATGGAGACCAGTAATAATCCACAGATTGGAGGAACGGATAACCTATTGGGAGAGATTAGGAATGTCCAGAAATCTATTGATCAACACATATTGGGTGTGTTCTCTGTGCTGGGACTTGTTGATACAGAGGCAAGTGAGCCAGAATGTCTTCCCTCACTGATTTCATGGTCTGGGGAATGATGTAGTCAATTACACTGTTACCTCTGGCAAAGGTCATGATGGAACTGACAGGAGAATAGGGATGACTGAGAGATACATGAACCTCAGATTAAGGAAGAGACAACTTTCCGGAGGAGGTAAGGTCTAAGATGGATTTGGAGAATGAGTTAAGATAGGAAGACAGGTGAGCAGAGGGAACCATAAGACAAACCAAGAAGGCTTGTGTCTTAGTCTGTTCGTGCTGCTATGACAAAATACCTTACACTCGGTAATTAATAAACAACAGAAATTTATTCTTCATAGTTTCTGAGGCTGAAGAGTCTAAGATCAAGGCGCCAGATTTAGTGTCTGATGAGAGTTCACACTCTGTGTCATAGGTGGTGCCTCCTTGCTGCATCCTCACTTGGCAGAAGGAGCAAATAAGTTCCCTCAGGGCCTCTTTTTTAAGAGTACTAATCCCATAAGTAAGGGCTCCACCTTCATGGCCTAATCACCTCCTAAAATCCCACTTATTAACACTATTCCATCGAGAATTATGCTTTAACAAGTGAATTTAGGACAGGTAGAAAAGACACAGATAACCAGACCTCAGCAGCTTACAAAATCCTCACATGGCTGCAGAATGAAAGTAAATTTCTGTATAATGAGAATCGGGTTGTATATGTGTATGTTGGGGTATTGGTCTGGAAGAGAACATGAGAAACTTGGATAATTAGAAAGCGGCAAATGATGGCCAGCTGAAGTTGAGCCAAAGGTCAGATGAATATAGCAGAAGGTCAGCATGGGGTTGCAGGGTAAGAAAGAAAGAAATTCTTCATGAGTGAAGCAGCAATAGACACAATTATAACAAAAATGACAATAGCAACTACTCTTGAGCCTTTGATATATGCTAAATATTTCACATATACCATCTTATTCTATTGTCATCATCTCTTTGAAGTAAATGCATTCATGTTCTACTTTTTATAGACAATATGCAGCTCAGAGAGGTTGAGGGACTTGCCCAAATCACACAGCAGCAACTCCAACCCATGGCAGTCTGCACACAAAACAGATTCTCTTAGCCCCTAACTTCCGTAATTGAGAAATGCACTTTAATGCTAGGCAATATGTGGAGGGGTAGAGATGGGGGTTACAAGTTCTGTATGGAGACTGCAGCACTGGCCACCTCCAGAGTTCTGAGGTGCTGTGCCCCACAGGAAGCCTGAGATATGACAAAAATTATGAAATGGATCCCCAGGTGTCCACACTTACCTCCCTAATGCATTCTCCCAGAAGAGCCTGCTGTCATCTATTCCAAGAGACAGATATTCACCCTGAACTTGTAAAGAGCAATTTATGAAATGTGCATGAAAAAAAAAGAAAGAGTAAAACCTAGTACTGGAAGCTGACAGTGGGACAAACTAGGGCAGAGAATAGTTTATTATTATGCTTTTAATTTTCCAAAAAGAGTGCACAGTTTCGTCCTATTTATAATAAAAGTCACTGATATAATAAAGGCATCTCATCACATCAGCAGTCATTTCTACAAATAGAGCATTGATATTAACATGTGTTATGAATGTCATTGATATATTAAGACATTTCAGACTGTCTATCTAAAAATAGAGGGAAAGCCAGAGGGAGGGGAGAGGAAGACACAGAGCTAACTAATTCAATCAGAAGAAAGAGAACCTATGCTTGCACAATTAACTCTTCCATTAGTGAGCAATGAAAGTAAACAGTAAACACCTGAATTTGATTCGTGGTTAGAATTTGATTTACCAGGACGATGTGGTGCAGGTAGGGGAAAAGAGGCAGAGGGAGGGGAAGGACATAGAGGGAGAGAGAGAATTAAAGGTATGTGTAATTAGGTGACCTTATTATAGAAAAAGACTCAGAAATTATGTTTTCCAATC